TTACATCTGTGAGGCGCCCCTGGGTGGAAATCAGGAGTGGGTAGTTAACTCAGGGAGACTCTGGGGGACCCTGACGAAAGTGCTGTTGAGAGACCTGATGGTAGGCAGGGCGACTGGAACCAGGAGGAGCCAGGACAGTGGTCAGGGCATGGACTTGGCCATGTGCCTGGGAGTCATAGTGGGGCGAGCCTCTCCCTCGTGCAGCTTCCCAGGCAGACACCAGGGACAGCAGGCCAAGCGCCTCTGTTCCTGCCAGAGCCCACGCTCCGGGCGGCTCATGCCACTCACCTCCCCCACCGCGTGGCCTTGCTGGACACGTAATGCCACCTGAAAGCCGTAAATGGGGACCTGCGGCCACAGTATCATCTCCGAAATGCTTTCTTTCCTGTGGGTTTGATCTGCAGTGGGCAGTGGCTCCACCCTGTAATTTACCTCTGCCCGCCCAGCCTCTGTCAGAGCCCTTAGAGGTCTGTGAGCAGATGCTAAAAGGCACCAGGGGACCGCACCATTAAAAGACTCCCGCAGTGAATTCTTTTGTAAAATGAATAATGGCACCCTAATTTATCTACGTTCTAAATTTGGGTCCATGGGGGTGTAGGGGACATGCCCGTGTGCGGTGCCAGCAGACAAGCCCGAGCAGGGGAGCTGCGGTTCTTCCCCTGGCCTGCCCCGCTCGGGATACCCTACCGTGTGCAGTCCCCGCCACACCGACGCACTGACATGGTGCGCGAGATGAGCAAGCCGAGAGGGCAGCTTTGCTTACGGCTGGGACTTGGGTAACCTGGTCCTGGCTGGAAGGGAGAGCTGATCTGGAAGCCCCTGAGAATGTGCTTGTAGTAGGGTGGAGGTGACGGTGGGTGGGGCGACCCTGGGTGCAGCTACAGTGCTGGCCTAAACGCCCTGTGACCCAAAGCATAATTAGGACCTTTGTTGTAAACCACTGTAAGGTATTGGTCTCTCCACAGCATAGCCACTGATTCACAAGTTTGTCCTAAGCCCGCGTTTTAAAAAGCTGAGTGAGTGCCCGGCCATGTAGGCTTCAGATGGCTTTCTTCTCTCAGCAGAGGAACAGAGGTGGGGCTGAGAGCAGGAACCTGGAGTTGGTCCAGGAGCAAGAGGAGGCGATGAGAATAGGACCATGGGTGGGAGTGGGGCCTGGTACCCGTCACCCTCTGACTGGGAGCCCAGGAACAGGGGCTGAAAGGAGAGTGGGGGTGGGAAGAAATGGAGCCAGCTCTGCTTCCTGGGGGTGCGGAGAGTGGGGCACGCCGCGTCCGCGTCCGCAGGGGCTCCCGGTGCTTTCCGTCCTGAGTGTGGAGGCAGCCCTCCCACCAGATCTCCAGTCCCCGCGTCCCTCCCTGCACCCCTTCCCTTCCCCCCATACAGTTAAACCTCTCTAATTCGGAACGTTGTATCTGAGAAGATGGCCAGGCTGAATAAGTGACAAAACTGAGTGACTGTCTATTTAATGCCATGCGTGTCTTCACAGTACCTACAGTAAATGGCACTCAGCGGGCAAGGCTCTTTCCCCACCCCGGCCTCAGGCAGCCTGCGTTAATGAACAGATAGGGTTGCAAAGTCTGTTTTCCGGTATAGGTTAAATATCCCCTCCTACAGACACATTTCCCCCACTGATTTGCTTAGCACACCCTTTCTTCACAGATAAAGGCAAACTCAAGCCCAGTTTTTGTTCAAATTATGAAAAAATTCCAAATCCGTGGGGGTTTGGATTAATGAGGTTTTGCTGTGCTGCCTCCCCTGGTTCCTCAGTACAAAGTTTCTACCTCGGGCTGGGGGCGGGCTGGAGGGGGTCCGTGGGGAGGAGGGTGGGCTGGGAAGGGACTGGAGGTGCAGCTAGAGGGGTGAGCTGGGGGTGAGGAGGTCGCTGCTGCCCTGGCGCTGGTTTCCTGGTGCGACACACTGGGCTGAAAGCTTGGAGGCCCCTCTTAGGAGTTGGGGGTGAGACTCTGTTCTCCCTGATTCCAGAGGATATAACATCTACTGCAGGTGAGAGACGGAATAGGATGGTGGGGTCGGGGCTCGGGGTGGGGTGGGACATGACTGTGGAGTGGGCTGGCTCGGGGGGGGGCCGCTGGCGGGGGGGGGCCTCCCCACCCCGGCTGCAGATCACGGAGAACGGCGAGTTCCGAAACACCGCAGACCACTAGCCCGCCCAGCATCACAGACCTCCTTCCCCGCGCACCCCACCCTACAGCGTCAACCACCAGGACTGGACGTCACCGAGGGACAGCGGGAGTGCCTCCCTGAATGCCTCCCTGGGGGCCCTGATCCCCCCACCCCACTGCACCATTTCCAGGAGGGAGAGCGGGGACCCTCAGCCGCCCCCTGTTCCTTCCTGTCGGGGTGCTGACCCCCTTTGACCCCCGGGGACCCTTGCCCCAGGACACCACCTACCCCACACAGACCCCTTCACTCTGGGGTGCTATCCCCACCCTCTGCCTCATCGTTCCCCTGAGCACTGGGGGACAGACCCTCACCCCCAACCTGGGGGTGTGGCACCTCCAAACTTTCAACTTCAGGGTGATTTTTTAGCAGTAACCAGAGCTGACAATCTAACTCCCCTCCACCGCCCCATTTTGGCCTCCCCTGCCCCCCTTGTTATGGGGAGGGGACCCCGGGTGAGGGGGCCCTATTACCCCTTGATTTCTCAGGAGCGTCTGGGGGGGCTCAGCACGCACAAACTCCTTCTCCTCCTACCACTCTTAAATTTAATCCCTCCCCACCCAGAACCCAGATGGGGTGGAGGGGGCCACCGGGGCAGGGAGGGGGCGGCAAGGGGGGAATGGGAGTTGTCTCCCCTTCTTCCCACACCTGATCTGCTCTCGGCTGGTCCCCGAGCGGGCCTTAGCCCCCCCCCTCCCCCAGTGTGTTGGGTGGGGTGGAATTCGTTAGGGTGAGGGGCTAGGGTTTGGGGGTGCGTGTGTCGGGCAGGACAGACTAGTTGCTCTGCCCTGCCCTGACACACACCACCCCCTGCCCCTCCCCTCTCCTTGGTCTCTACTCCCAGGGGGAGGGGGGAACTTACTCTAGGAAAAGCCATGTCTCTCTCCCCCCAGGGTGGGGGGACCTGTGTTGGAGGAGGGGTGTTGGGGGGCCCCCTTCCATGACTCTGTCCCCCTAGGGGAGGTAGGACAGGGCTGGGCTTCCCTCTCATCCTCCCCCCCCAATCTCTTTCCACCTCCCTCCCTCCCGCCAGCTCCACAATTTTTCGGTGTTTCTCTGTACATAGCTCTCTGGCGGGATAGGGGAGGTAGGATGGATGGGGTTTGGGGTGGATAGGCCATGGGAGGGGAGAAGCCCCTCCTTGGAACCCCCTCTTCCCTGACTGCTGTCCCCTACCCAGCCTTGCCCCCTCATCCCTTCTTGCGTTTGGTATTGAGACTCTTCCCAGATTCCATCCTTCTTTCTTTTGTATGGACAGTTCCCCTTCAGTCCCATCTCCTACACATACACCCAGCCGGGGCCAAATTTATACTTATATAAAAGTTGTAAATATGTGAGATTTTATCCCTGTGCCCTCCCTCTGCTTTCCCCACCTCAGGCCCTACCCCTGGACCGTCCTTCCTCCTCCTCTTTGGCTGTTGTAATTATCTGGGGTTTGTACTGTACATATCCGGGGGGTGTGTGTGTGGGCTGGGGGCGACCCCTCTGTACAGAGCTTCCTGGCCCCCTCCCCCCCGCCCCTCTGCTAACCTCCCCACCCACCACCTTAAGGGTAGGGAGATATTCTTCCTACCTGTTTTATTTTGTTTTCTCGTTCTCCCCTCCCCACTCCCAGCCTTCTCTGTCCCCTACCACTGACCCCTTTTCTCCACTCCCAGCCCCCCTTCCTTTTTTTCTGGAGTGTGTGGTGAAACAGAAAAATCATGTTTAATAAACGGAGATTGTTCTTTTATGGCTGTCATGACTTTCTTAGGCTAGGGTCTCCTGAAGGACCAGCAGAGAGGAGGAAGCGGACAGCCTGGGGTGGGGGGCGTGTATCCCCTCTACCTGGTGCTGTAGTCTCACGGCCTGTCATTCTCCCACTGTGATGGATTCTGTTTGAGAACAGGTGTTCTGTGTTAGACTAACTTCCCAGTCTAGTTCTTCCCTCACTGTTTCCACTTAGCTGGCCAAAGCAGAGGCCAGGAACAGACGCATTATTTGATAAAGGAGTGCATGTATGTATCCACATAATTTTTTAAAGAATAATTATTTACCTTTATTTACTATATTAGTATTATTTTCCAGTTTGAAGAGAGAGAGAGAGAGAGAGGGAGAGAAGGAAAGTGAAAAAGCAAACCACTAGGCCTGGGACTCAGACTGTGGTCAGCCATGTGGGAATCCAGCGCCTTTAACCACCACGCCACCTGCTGGCCCCCATCTGTTTAAATTACCTAGAAGTAAGACTCCTTACTTGCTAGCTAAAGTGCTCTGGTGTGGAATAAAAAGACTATTTTTAGCAAATTTGAGTTCCAGTCCCAGAGCCACCATTTGCTGGCTCAGTGACGTCCAGGCTCGGGGTCTGTCCCCTGCTGGAAAACTCGGCGTCGTTCCCTACCTCACCTGGCTGGGGGAAGCTTACAAAGGTGTGTGAACAAGTATCTAGCCCAGGGTGGGTGCCCAACTGGTCTCGCCCCTCTCGACACCTACCAGGGCATGAGCGCTACTCTAATCACTGCGGGAAACGCAGCTTTCCGGGGAGGCTGAAGGCCCTCCCCTCTGCCCGGGTTGTGATCTGAAGCCCGGCTGCCGGGTCCCTGGCTCTAGCAGGGACCTTAAGCTCCTTTGGGACTAGGAACCCGGTGGCCTCTTCCAGCCCCGCCCTCTCCCTCAGCGCAACCAATCAACGCGAGGCTTGTAGAAACCCACGCTCCGATTGGCTGGGGCCCTCGAC